GGGAAGGGAAGGGAAGGGAAGGGAAGGGAAGGGAAGGGAAGGGAAGGCCACGTCGCTCCCAGCCTGCAGGAGGAATAGAGGCTCTGGGGTGGGGGTGCTTGGCTGTTCCTGCTCCATCCCAGCTGTGGGGAGATGCAAAATAAATGAGGGTGAAGCGGTGCTGGGTGCACACGCGAGTACAGCGGTGCTGCCCAGGGGAGCCTTCATCCTGGGAGCTCTCACATCCTCCTGCACTGGTACTGTGCTCTGAGGGCTGGATGCCAGGGAAAGGACGGGGAGCGGGAAAGAGCAGGGCTGGCCATGGAAACGCCACAAAATCCTGTGCTCCTTTGCAGGCCTGAGACACGCTGAGGGCTCTGCCACCATGGGTGGGGGCTTTGGCATGTGTCCCTGCTGGGGGCTGGGCAGGAGATCAGCCCCACAGCTCCGGTTTGCATCCTCCAAAGATGAATCCAGGGGTTGTGGCCACGCTGGGTGCCAGGGCTCGGCCACGTCGGGGACTTTGGCCACCAGCCACGTCCAAGAGCGCTGTCAGCCTGGCTCCGCTCAGCACCCAGCTGCGTGGGGAGGGATGCTGGCCAAGAACGGCCCTTAAGTGTCAGGCAAGTTCAAGCTGCAAATTATTTATTAAAACCAGATGTGCTCGCTCAGAGCTGCCACGAGGAATTTCAGGGCGCTCCAGCCCTGGGAGGGCCAGCACTGAAATCCCTGCCCTTCCGCCGTGGGGGCGAGAAGAGGTTGGGGCTGCCTGGGGCAAAGCGCTGCCCCAAACCCAACGCTGCTGCACCCGGACAGGGGCTGAGAGGAGTTCCAGCCATTTACCAGCAATCTGACTTTTAGAGAAAAACACTTTCTCCTCAATCATGACTCAGTCAAGAATTAGCAGTGCCTGGATGTGAGGCCCAGAGGGAAGGCACCTGGAGGTGGCAGAGGACGGCACATCCTGCGTGGTGCACTGGGAGAGCAGCGATGGGAGCAGGGAGCAATGCTCACACCCCTCCCCATGGCCATTCCCAGATGGAGCATCATAGGTTCAGGGCCACACGGGCAGCCCTGGATCCTTTATTTGCAGCTCACCTCACAGCCACAGCCCCCTCCCTCAGCCCCCTTTCTCATGGAGGGGTTTTGATGTCCATCGCTTTGGTTTGGGCGCTAACAGGCAGATTTTCAGGTTAGCAGGAGCTGGGATGAGGCAATGCTGAACAATGCAGGGCTGTAGCTACGGCCTCAATGCAAAGCTAAGGCAGGCCAAGAAGGAGGACATGACCAAATCACTGTCCTGCCCCCCAGCTAATGCATGCTTACAGCTCCTGGGCTGCAGGCAGCTTCGGTCAAACGAGGACAGGGCTGAGCTGAGCACCGTGTTGTGCTTCCTGCGAACGAGAGCCAAGCACTGCACAAACCCAGCACCACTGCTCACAAGGCTGAGCCTCTGTCCTGCTCCACACCGTTACGTTCGTGGGTCCAGTCCCAGTCCAGGCCAGCCCTGGCCATTGGGAGAGGATAATAGTGAGCTCTGCTAAACATTTCACTTCAGGCTTTACCAGCCCACCTCAGCACCACCCAGCACCGACCCAGCTGTGGAAGCAGGCTGACATTTGGCAATTAGGAGCGACTGGAAAAGGAGAAGAAAAGGCCGCAGCAAAGCGATCCTGTGGCACAGTCCAGGCCTGGGAGCCGTAGAGCTGCACAGGGAGCTCAATGCTGGCAGCTCCTCACCAGACAGCACACGCCAGCCGCTTTTCCCGTCCTTCACGCCCCCCACACGGTTAATGCATGAAATGAGAGCTTTGCTCAGCCCCAGCTCCTGCCCCCCCGCCTGGCAGACAATCAGGTCCTTGTGGCCAAGCCGCCTGGCCCTGGGCGTGCAGCGCGGCGTTTGCTTGGCCTCCTGCCCCCAGCCCTTCCCAGGGCAATCGCTGCAGGAGCTCTGTGTGCACCATGGAGTCTCGGTGCAATGAGGCATCCGTGTGCAGCAGGAAAGTTGCCTCTGTGCTGGGTGGGAGTCCCGCTTCCGTGTGCTGCATTCCAGGTCGTGCCAGGTTCAAGGCAGAGCTGCTTCAGCACCCAGAAAACAACCTCCTCCAGCAGCAAACCCCAGGGAGACGCAGGCGGCGGTAGCAAACCTCGCATTGAGGGTTTGCCAGGTCACAAAATAAAGCGGGACTGGCCTAGTTGGCAGAGGGAAGCTCGTTTCATAGCATGACGCCTAACTGCTAACGTAGGAGGCGAAGCATCCAGCAAGGCAGCCCCTGGGGAAGCCTCGCTCCTGTCTGCACTGAGCTCTGCACGTGCCCCAGCTGCAGGCATGCCATGCACAAGCTGGGTACCTGACCACCCCCCGCATCATGCCACTGCTGCTGAAAGGCAGCCGCCAGCTCCTGCTGTCCAAATCTGTGTTGCGTCGCCCCAACTGGTGCTCGGGACCAAAAAATTAATCAGTTGCAGCAGCACAGAGGGAGCCGCGCTGCTGTTGGTGTTTGGTTTCATCTGAGCTTTGCTGAAAGTTCTTTCTGACCCCGAATGTGAGGAGGGTGACGTCAGGGCTGCTGGGAGCAGAGGAATCCTCACCCATCCTGGGCACAGCTGACTGCTCCCTGCCTGGCAACTCCTTGCCATGCAATGGGGATCTGGGCTGCAGACCGGGCCCTGCAGCGCTTCATCCACCTACAAGTGGACACAGTGCCTTCAGCTGCCAAGGTTTTGTTGCCTTCCCCCCCCTCCCTTCTCTATTTTATAGTTTAAAAGCTGTTGAGACTTGGCTGGATGAAATGAAAGGAGCTGGACTCCTTCTTGCTGTTATTCCAGGCCATCAGCTTTCAGCACAGCCGGGGCAGAGCAGGAGGTGCACACATTTTCATTAACAGACACAAAAAGAAACATTACTTTGTAGCCCAAACATAATCAGCTTCCAAAGGCAGCCGCTACTCCAGCAGAAACGAGGGACAAACTCCACTCTGATTTCTTCCTCCATCTTCCAGAGTTCAATCGGTCAGCAGTCAAATAAGACTCAATGATTTTCAGCTCCCTCTTCTCATGCAGGGATCCCAATGGCCTGAGCTGCTGAGCACCACCTCCTCCATCCTCATCCTGCAAACACCTCGTGCCAACACTACCAAGGGCAAAAGAGTGAGAGCCAAGCAAATCAGTTTCTTAAAACTTATTTTAATATCCATGTCTCATCTGTTGGGTAGAGCCAAAACAGTCTGGCCTGGTTTAAGTTACAAATTCTTCATACACTTCTCTTTAAGTAAATGAACAGTGTGGCAATAGGGTCTGTTATTGGAAGTGAAACCCGTGCTAACAAGGTGCTGCAGCTGGAATTCTACCAGGGTTCTTTACTGCTTTCAGCCCCAGAAAAGGCTAATGCTGTCCCCAGGCCCTGAATGGGTGTCACACAGCAGGAATAAATGCATCGGACACAAAACTACTCACACCCACAGAGATAGCACACACTGTATGGCCAAGGAACAACAGGGCTGGGATATAAAAAACCCTTTTAGAATTCTCCCCTATGGGGACAGGCACCAGATCAGCCATGGCAGCAAACAGGATGAAGCAACAACCTTGATTTTGCCCTACAGATACGTGGAATCACTGCTGGCTGAACAGTTATTTCTGGAACAGACCAGCGAGGATAAAAGGACCACAGAATGATGGCCGAGTATTTAAAGATGCAATATTTCTTTTGTTTCAAATACAACAGTTGGGAGACCACCTTCAAACAGCTGCAATAAAAATCAAAGCATGGTTCCGTGCTTCCCAGATCAATTTGCTTAATTACTCATTTTTTTTCAGAACAAATAACACATGTTAGCAGAGGATGGCTTCCAGTAAGGCAGGCAAGTGCAAGTTCCCTCAGAAAGTGCAAAGCTGACAGCACTGCTTGCCACAAGGCACCACGCAGGCACTTCATGCCCACACGCTGCTGGAGCTGCAGGAGCAACCTGGAGGTGCCATGCAACAGCCCCGTGCATAGGATCACCTGTTCTTTAAACAAGGCCCTGGAAGGCAGCAGTGGCACCGCCTCTCTCCCTTGAAAAACTTTGTTCTTGAATACTGCATCTTTAAATTTGCCTGGCCAGGGGCTGCTGCCACATGTTAGGAACGCTCCAAGCTGGCTGCCACATGTTCAAGCGCTGCACTTTTCGGTGTTTTCAGTCCTCCTTCAATGCAGGGGGGAAAGGGGCACGGTGGGGACAACAGGCTGATGTTTGCCAGCAGGCAGATTCCAGCTGGAGGTGCAAGCCCCCTCCAGGCAGCTTACAGAAGGGCGACAGAAATAACGAGGAGATTTGTTCCCTTCTAGAACATCGTCTCCTTCCCTTCCACTCGCGATCTGGTGCTGCGATGGCAGCAAGTTAGAAAAGTCAGCAAGTTTTAAAAGGAAAATGCTAAGGGAGAGAGGAAGCTTTCCTGCCAAGTCACCTAAGTGAGAAGAACAAGACAAGCCTTCTTTCTTCAGCTTTGGATTTCTGTAACATGAGTGAGATAAGCACAGCACTGCGCGAGCACAGATTACACCTGTGATCGACTGAGCTGAGCTCCAATTCTTTCCTGTTCGCTGCCTGCCTCCTCAGCAGTCACCAGATATCATGCTCACAAGAGCAGAGAGCAGATTATGAGCACGTCAGGGGGTGTTTTCAGAAAGAACAGCACTTCAAATAAATTAAAAAGGTGCAACCGTTGAGAGAGCGATGAAGCAGCAGCTGAAAACCTGGTGGCAGTCTGGACTGTAATCCACTCTGAGCACAGGAGATCCATGCAGGCCTGCCTGTGAGCTTCACCGCCTTCCTGAGAAGGTGAATGATTTGTCAGAGGCCACCCCAAGGGAGCAGAAAGCTGCAGAATGCCATCAGCTTGTTAATACGGGTTTCACTTTGAGACCAGAAAACTGTTTTCTTCCAAAAAATTGTTATTTTTAAAAAACTGAAATTAATTAGGGGTAAAACACTAACGCTAGTGCCATGAACAGGCAGGATCAACTTTTTTCCCCTCCAAAGGGCAAAGAGTCATATACCATCCCCAGCTGAACCTTGGTGCTTCGAGCTTTTCAGGAGATGTTACCTAAACTTTATTAAAAGAAAAAGAACAATGTTTAAATATCAACACTGGACTCGACCAGTCTTTTTTTCCAATGTCCACATTCTTCATATGAAGCACACACGGCGTCCTGGATTCCCCAAGGCTGCATGTTCAGAAGTTCACAGTACGTGGAACCACGTCTTTTGTTTTGTTTTGTTATATTTTCTTGAGTTTCCCCTCCTTGTTCAGAGCAGCCACACTTTGTGGTCATTTGCTGGACAAACCTCAAGCCACCTCCTATCCACATGGCTTGGCCTAGATGCCGAAGGTTTCCTTGATGAGATTAGATGTTGTCATGCTCTATGGATGGAAAAAAGCAAGAGAAAAAAAGCACCTGGTACAGGTTTCTCAAGACCCTTGCGGATTCCTCTACTCCAAAGCCGTTTCTGAAAGTCTTTTTGCCGGTTTCTCAAGCAGTTTTTGGCCTATTACTCTGTGTCAGTTTGAAGAGCTGTTATTGGACGATCCAGAGGTTGATGCAATCGCAGCTCCAGCTGGGCTGCTTGTGGATACAGATTTGCGGATGTGAGGCAGCAAGTATGGGTCACAGGCCAGCTGCTGGACATCTATCCGATCCTCCTTTCGGTAGGCCAAACAACGCCTGATAAATGCCTGCAGATACCCCCCAAGGCAAAACAAGAATTAGCAGACTGACAGGAACAGGAAGCTCGCTTTGATAGATCTAACTCTTTGGGAGCTGGGCCAATCTGACAACCCAGCGCTGAAATTCCTTCCCCAGTGATTGCACAGACAGCTGCTGTGCCAGAAGCACATCTTCTAGCAGGAGAAAGCACGGGTAGAGACGTGCTGTACTCCATTCGACCCTGAGGCTGACAACAACAACGATGCAACAGATCGCTCTGCAGGAGGCGAGAGCTGAACACAAACTCCTTGCTAGTAAACTGAAGGAAAGCCAAAAGGAAGGAACCACTGGTGTTGGCTGCTGAAGGGCAACGCAATGTGACCGAACGCTGCTGAGGACTCACCTTTGCTTCTGGTGTGACTACTGGCTTTGGAGGGAACTGCACCTCGGTAGCTTTCAGAATCGTGTTCTCCTGGAGAATATCTTGTTGTGACTGGTTGTGGCCAAAGGGCTACCAAAAAAATAAAAAAAAACAACCCCAAAACAATAGTAGTTAAAGACTGATGACAGGCCTTAAAAAAAAAATCCCATAGTGCTACTGTTAATCATCACTTGACATCAGCATTTTTCCAGGCAAGAAGCCCATGAACACTGTGAAGGTGCTTGCAGATTCCAGCCAGATGAACATCCGACACACTGCTCTGTTTCTGAACTGAACTAAAGGGACACCAAGCTGGAACACGTCCGGGGTGTCTCCAGCTCAGGCAGGAAGCACCTCCATGTGCTTGCAGACATCATAGGTCAGCTCTGTCACATCAGAGAGGACCCTCATCCATCTGAGCGGCCAGGAGATTCACCTCCTTCAACCCCTGCTTGGCTGGTTCCACTGTTTGTCTGACTGACACCACAATGTTTCTATCAGCCCAGGCTTTCCCAATTCCTGGTTACCAAAGACTTGTAAACACGAGAGCTTATGGAATCCTTTTCCTGCCCAACCAACTCCTTCTGATGTCATTAAAAAAAGAAAAGATTGCCTTTTCTCAGAACAAATCACCTCTTCCTGAAATAGACTCTTCCCTTCCAAAAGGCATTCTAAAAACATTTAGTCTTTCTATCTATTTTATTTTAAAACTCTTGCAGCTGTTGAGCAATATTGGGCCTGACAAAGACTCTGCATTCAAAGAACAACATCAGAACATTGAAAGCATGATAAAACAATGCCAAACAAGAATGCCAGGTGCCTGGCACCGAACGACACACACATTTTGCCCATTATCATCTCACTGGAAATACGACCATCAGGAAAGATGTTCTGAAGAATGTTGCTTCTGAAAGTATTGCCACGTGGAGCAAAACACAACCTAACAAATTATCCTCTCTCCATTAATATGGACTCTGTCTCGGAACTGGTGGCAAGGAGACAAGGCAAAAGCACCTCCTAGTCTGGCAAGGTGAAGGGAGCAGAAGCCAGGGCTGCCTCTCAAAGGTTTGGGAATCACTGCTTGGAAAGAGGTTACGTGCTCTCTTACCTTTCTGCCATAGAGACATTGATAGAAGATGACCCCTACTGACCAGACATCAACTTTATTTGAAATCTTTGGAGGTTCTTTCCCAACCACGAAACATTCTGGTGGCAAATACCTGATTAAAAAGAATGGACAACAAGTTATGAGTATTATCTTCTAATACTTACAGCCATTTTGTTTAGAAAAGAAGACATAATCTGGCTTGGGATTCAAAGAAGCCAGTTTTGATCCTGTGCATCTAAGATCACCACTGCCATACCACTGCTTTTCGTGAAGACCACAGACCCAAGGGCTCTCCAGACACTGATGGTCTGAATTACTCAGCACGGTCAGTTTCCTTTCAACAGAAGCACATAAAATAACCTTGTTTTCTTTCATCTTCAAAACTGGTATTTGTTGTCAAAAGGGCTTGGCCAACAATTTCACAATAGAAATCCACAGCCAAAAATATGTATTTCTAGAAATTCAAGCCTAGTTGGCAGTTCACAGAGAAAGCTTTGCTCAAACTACAGCTAGTTTTTGCTTTTGGAAAAGAACAGGCCTAAACATTTGTTCACACAACATGGAAGGCTTTAACAAATGTTTGTGTACAAATGCTGCCCACAGGGACACACTGCAGTTTGGGTAACATCTAATAATTACATCCTGTGGTACTTAATGCAGGTCTTGCTCTCAGCTGCATCACTTGCAGTGATGACATCTGGCACTGGGAGTCAAGTATTGCTGCAAATATCTTTCATATGGCACTTGGAAGTGAAGCTGTGGCTACAAACAGTGCTATGAGATTTATGTAAGTTGTAAGAGCTAACTCTATGGATTTTCACTTCTCTTCAGTGGAATGCTCTTTCCTTCTCCCTCATGTACCTGCATAGTATTCTCCTTCCCTGATTTACAGGGTCTCTACCATCTCAAGCTGGCAATGGCAGCACATGCAGAGCTAACACAGATGCAAAGAGACCTGGAAACTCTTCTTGATCTTTAAGCTGCAAGTGCCCCACAGGTGATGCTTACCAGTAAGTACCAGCCCCCTGCGACGTCAGCTCCATGCCATCAACAGAGTTGTAGCTGTCATCATCCATGATTTTGGAAAGCCCAAAATCTGTGATTTTTATCTCTCCGCATGCAGTACCATTGACTAGAAGAATGTTACCTAAACAGAGGAAGGAAGCAGTCTCTTAGAAATACATTTAGCAGGGAAAAGCAAGAATAAAATTGCATGAAGTCTGGTTCTCTACAAGAAAGCAAGCATCCTACAAAGCACAGCCAGCTGCAGCTGCCTGGGGTAGGTGTTTTAAATTCAGAGACAACTCAGCTCCCTCTGACTGCTAGATGTGATTTATCCATCCTCAAAAGGCTCAGTTGCCTAACATTACTTGGAGCCTTTGGATTACGAGCCCTATTCTCCAAATCAGCTTGATGCCCGTGCTGTTTTGACCCCTCCCAAAGGTCCTGCTAGAAGGGCAGGTCAAAAAGAAAGACTAAGCAAAGAAGCAAACATACACAGTCATGACTCATTCTGTCCAGAAGTCCTGACTTGCCCCAGTCTCTCAACAGCCAGAAACTCTCTCCCTTCCTGGCAGTGCTCCCCAGTGGCTTTCTAAGCTCAGAAAGACAATTACTGCTTAAGCAAGAGTCTTTCATAAATCCATCAAGGATCAAGAATTCAGATCATCACTGTTTTTCTCAAAGCATACAATAAAACAGCAGAATTGTGTGTGGTGGCAGCAGATGAATCACAGCTTTAGACAACTGCAGGCAGAGCTCTGCTGCATGTTCAGACACAGCAAGAACAGCCAACAGCTGGGGGACGGAATATGGTCACTAGAACAGTGCAACAGCACCACCTCCTGTACAGATTCCTCTTGCTGATGCAATAAACCACATCACAGAGTTACACAATACGAGGTGCCACCAGTAAAGGAAGGCAAACCAGAGACAACTGTCTGAAGAGGTGGTTGAATTTTACTGGACTAGGAAAAAGCAACGTAGCCAACATCCCAGAAGAGAGCACTTCCATTTCTGCCTTCACTACTCTATCCAGTGCCACATAGAGCCCTGCAAAAACATCTTTCAAAGGCCCTTCTGCTTGGTAGATGCTAATGAATGCAAAGGAGGACTGGAGTGTGCATGTCCTCTGCTTTGTGAGCTGCCACGTCATAAAAACCAAACCAACCAAAAACCTGAACACTTCCCAGCTTCTGCCCCCAAGATTTCAGGCAGATGATTACAGAAAGAATAAGCCAGAAGAATGGGAACATAAAACACACTAGTAATTATGGGAACCTTTATGAAGCAATAACAGAAGCTCTCAACAGCAGAACACAAGCAGGACATTGAGAAACCAAACACAGACACTTGGTGGTTCAAGAGCTCATTTCGAATAAAGAGGCTACTCTTTCTGGAATGTTACTTCCTTGTTTATGTTGCAATTCTGGGAGACAATACCCTTTTCACAGAATGTTCTATGCATTATAGCTTTTTCTTCTTGCAAGTGTGTTTTCCCAGGCAGGACCGTCTCCTTTTTGCTGCCTGACCAAAACAAACACCCCCGCTTCAATTACAGCCCATTACTTTCAGTTAGCATCCTCAAGCACGTCACCTACCAGCACAGCATACCTGGTTTAAGGTCATAGTGTATGATGGGAGGTTTGATTTCATTTAGGTATTTTAAAGCATTCACAATCTGCATGATAATGGATCGCGCCTCCTTCTCCGACATTAACTTGTGCTGCTTCAGGTAGAAGTCCAGATCGTTTCCCTCACAGTATTCTAACACTGTACAAAACCTGAAGGCAAAACAGCAGCAGTTGTAATTAAGGCATCTGACAGAAACCAGACCACTTTGTTGTTGTCTGTCTGCAAGTCTCATCTATTCGATCAATACATTAAGAGTCCTCCAGCCAATTAATCTCCAAAATTAGGGCACCAAGAGCACAATCGTCAACGCTCAATAGTACAAAGGTCAGATACGTTCCATTTAGCACCAGAGCAGAAATGGAAGCAGTTTTGGCTGGGGCATGTGTCCAGGTCAACAAAAAGCAAGATTTACAAGCAGAGCATCACATCTGAAATAACAGGGCATGCAAGACAGCATCTCTAGAAAATCTGTGCATGCTGCAACTGCCTCAGACAGCAGACATCTCTGCAGCACCTCTGCAAGGCACGGATATACCCTGGACTCTGCTGTAAGATTTTGAGATCAAAAACTTTGTGGTGGATGGGTCAAACCGAGTCAAAGCACACAGCAATGCAACTTACGAGTCAGTGTCCAGTGAAAAGTAGTCGTATAGCTTAACTATTCGAGGATGATCCAGTTCTTTGTGAATTCTGTACTCCCTACACGCATGTCTGAAAATAGGAAAGTGGGAGCATTAGTCACACAAGTGGCATAACTCTAAGTTCTGCAGAAGGAGCACCCAGACAGTCCCAGTTCAGTCACAAACCCATGCACATCACACAGCTTAAGAAAAGGCAGGCAAACGAGGAGCTGCTCAGAATAGTTTTTGAGAACCACAGAATCCAAGTGTATCAGATTCCCAGATGCTGGCAGCACTACAAAATAACTTAATCCTGATTAATGGTACTGCTCGCCAAAACAGAATTATCTCATAATAAATCGCTATGGGATCCAAGATAGCTGAACGCAAAAATCAGCAAGTTCTAGAAAAATTCCAGGATGTTCAACAGTCCAAGCTTCAACTCCAGCTTAGCTTATGCCACTGACACGTTGAGGAAGCAAGATCACAGTTTTGTCTTTGAAGTTCTGTGAAAAAATTTTGGCTGTGATTCTGCAGCACTTATCTAATCCATGGCATGAGGAAGCAAGTGTTACCAATGCTCAACAGGCTTCTTGCAGCCCTCTTCTAGGCTGTGACAAGTTATTCCTATCACCTGTGGAAAGCTCAAGTATTCTAGGAAACAAAAAGTAGTCTTTCAACATGCAGGTGTGTGCCTGGAAGATGGGCACGAGCACTTTTTTCCTGCAAGATCTTACACATTTTGAAGAGAAGCTGCTTTAGTGCTTTCTTTCTACAGCACCACTGGCGCTTTAAAGCCTCGTGTTTATACAAAACTGGGGGTGTGTGCACATATTGAAGACATTTCTAACATGAAATAAATTTTACAAGTAGATGTTGGGGCAGAGTGGCTTTTGAAATGTGGTAAAACATAGGAAAAAATGGCTGCCTGTTCACAGACAGTGAAGAACTAAACACAACTTGGGGACGTGTCTGTTTTACAGCCTTGCTTACTTGTGATAGTTTTCTTTCTTCTCATCTCTCCAGTTTTTATTTAACTGGTGTATTTTCACAGCTACGTATCTCTGTTCTGTTAAATCAAATGCCTGCAAAGAGAAGATCTGAGCATCAGTAGGAATCACAGCCTCAACTTCACGCTGCAGAAGCAGACAAGATCTAGCAAATCAATCTCCCCACCCAGGAAATCAGCATTACAACAGACTGAGCGAAGAGCAAACCCACATTTTGATGTAATTAGTTTCACTAATGAAACCAAGCAACTCTGAAAACAATTGAATATTCTGTGCTTTGATCTGACCCTTCCCTATGGGATTCAACTAATGCTGCATTTATTCTGACATTTTACTACCAGTGCTACAATGGGGATCACAACGGCCAAATTACTGAAATACAGCCACTCAATCACTCTGGGAAAGACTTTGTCACTATTCCCCCAACCAGCTCACTTATTTTTCTACACTAAGTTGAAAACAAAAATGAAAATCACACAGCAGATCTTTAATACTTTGTTTCTGGTAGCTCAGCTCTCCATCTTGAAGCAAAATGTCTCAGCTTGTTTAGAAGCCAGAGAATTCGAGGGCTGAACTGTGTAATGCTGGTGCTGCATGTCCAATATCTTGCTATTTAGGCAGCCTTTAAAGAACAGATCACTGGAATTGTGCTCTTGGGGAAATGAAGAAGTCTGTTACTTTGTCTGAGAGCAGAAACATCTAATAATTTACAGGATTGGGTAAAATCCTATTGTAAGCAAACAAGGATAATCCACATCCAGCTGAAAAGCTGTATACTGAACTCCTAATGCTTAACAGATCAGCATGGACCGTGGAGAAGAGAAATAAGCATTTCTTTGTTTTAGTAATGTAATTATAACCCTCATGCACAGTCAGGTATGAAGCATTCCTATGCCCTTGCTTTCACCTTTCGCCTGTGGAGCTCTGCATTTCTACTGAGTCATCAGAGACTCCAAAGAGAAACTGGGAGTACTTGCAGGCAGCACTCCCTCTTGGCTACCTGAACAGTAGGCCCCTCTGGTTTGGGTACCTGTCGTTATACTGCATCAAAATAATAAATCATCATGATGTTCCCAACATTTACATTGGAATAGTTACGTTAATTCTACCCAAATTCAACATGAATTACAGACTACTGGCTGTAAGTGGAGAATATTTAGCACTGGAGAGGATTTAAGTGTAATAATCAAACAAGAACCTCCAAAGTATCCTAAGTCTTGGCCATGCAAAGAGTACTGACAGACAAGCACTCCTCAGTTCCAAGGACTGCACACACACCCAGTCTGCTACTTCAGACCATAAAACGAAGAAAAAAGCCTTTTACCCCCAGGAAATAAAGGCTTTGCTCCTATTTATTTTCTCTTTTATTTACAGCAAAGCTCAGACTTGCTATGCCATCCTCAGTAAAACTTAGCCACGTTAAGGTATTTGTGTACAGCACTTGAATGCTAGGCTTCTGTCCTGGTGAAACCTGCAAATTTAGTGCAATGCTTTCTTAAAACATCCATTTGCAGGAAATTTGACCTCTGAGGACGTGAGCAGAACCTAAAAATTTCAAGCCTGCTGTCTAATACAAGCCAGATGTAACATGTGTTCTGTTCTTCCTTCCACAACCACACGCTCCATTGTGAAAATGATTGTGAGGTTCTGCTTACTGTGGGATTTCACTGCAGATTCACACTGCATCAGATTGGCATCTCAAATTTACCTTATATACTTCACTGAAGCCTCCTCGACCCAGAAGATGTAGCAACAAATACCTATCGTTTAGCGTTGGATGGTCTTTAAATCTGGCAAGAAAGACACACTTTAACAACACTGACAATGAACTATAACAGATTACAGTTCTTATACAACTTAGAAACATTTTTTTATATTGAGACTAAAAATATCAGAACTGGCAGATTTGATGCTATTTAATCATTTTCTATTGATACAAGGTTATATAACGATACTTTGATGTGCTCAGAAGCCTTTGCCCTGCCCCCTAGGCTAATGACACATTAAGGTGAAACACTGATTTAAGAAAATATACAGTATTTGCAAATCTGATTTGTCCCCTTCATAACAGCAATACACCCTCTATGACTCCCGCGGGCTTACTGTGAGTTATCTTCATTGTGTATCCTTTTCAATTCCCTGATATGTAGATTTCTAACCCTCTCTAGCCGTTCCAGCTCTGCCTGGATCTCTGCTTCTTCCTGTGCAAGAGAAAACCAAAAAGAAAACACGACATTGTTTCAAATATTATAGCCAGCATTTCTACCTGGAGTCACAAACATAACTCCACATGTAAACAGGTCATTGGCAAATAATGTGTCTGGGAAATGAAAAAGCTGCTCACAACCATGGTATCACAAAACCATAGCATGGCTTGGATTGGAAGGGACCTCAAAGATCATCAAGCTTCAACCCTGCTGCTGCATGCAGGGCCACCAATCTCCATTTAATGAGTCGGGCAGAAGGTGAAAGGAATCACAGAAACACAGAATGGCCTGGGTTGAAAAGGAGCACAGCGCTCATCTGGTTCCAACCCCCTGCTGTGTGCAGGTCACCAACCAGCAGCCCAGGCTGCCCAGAGCCACATCCAGCCTGACCTTGAATGCCTGCAGGGATGGGGCATCCACAGCCTCCTTGGGCAAACAGACCAGGTAACTTTGTTTAAAATGGCAGCCATTCATCCTCCAAACCCCTCTCCCCTTCTGCAGGCTAGCTGTGTGAGAAATCTTTTAAGATTGCATCTTCAAAAACTGGGACGTGATGCTTAAAGAAAGACATGCTATAAATACAGAGACTGGCATCCTGGGCTTTGACACGTAGATAACAAAAGCAAATGAGATTTTTCTGAAGTACAGACTTTGGAATTTGAGAAGCCATAAAAAGGGAATGTTTGAAGGATGCAGGATGATGTGGCCTGCCTGACACTTTACACATTACATGTGCATGGTTCTAACTTAATGTTATGGAAACGGAGATTTCCAGTACCAGATTCTGTGCTCACCTCTTATAGACTATCAGTGTCTATCTGGTAGTAGAAAACTACCACAGCACATAAATGTTACAATAATCTTCCAACACATCTCAGGGTACTGTGTTTTCTACCCAAGAAATATAAAAGCTGCCTAACTCAGAAATGGAAGTTACAGCGAACAGCTTCTGTAGTAAGACATCATTGGAACGGACAGCGTGCTCCAGTTAACAGGGGCAAGGCAAGAAAAGGCTTGTTCACATGGGAGTAACAGCCCTGACACCACACTGAACCACATGTGCAGTCTGAAGTTGAGAAGCAGGAATACCTTAACACACATTTCAGTGGTCGGCAGAACATCTTAGTGTAAGTTTCACGGACTCTTTAGTCTCTGGGTGGGTTCTTGTTTCTCTTTAACACCAGGCCAACAGCCACCACCTCACCCTGCAAGCAGGGAGCCCCAAAAGCTCTTTACTTTCAACTGAGACTGATTTCTTTATCATAGGGCAGGAGTGACTGATAAGGCAACACACGACCTGAAAGAACCTTCAGCTGTTACTCACTGAGACCAAAGAATTTTTATCTGGATCACAGAGATTTCACAGCTCTTAAAGACGACTTCTGTTCCAGAGAACATTGGGTCTAGAAACCAAGCGAGGAAGTGCTGAGAGGATCTGCCTCCTGTAGGAACATGACCTGTACAACTTCACCTCTGTGATGTGCAGCACTGCTGGTCCTGCCCCTTTCCTTGAGAAGAAAGGAGCCACGTCAAAGTTTTATGCACAGTTCCAGGGTGGAAGGTCCACTGCCCTCAAATACAAGACTTGAATTCACACTGATGAGGACAGGGTTGCAAACCTCAATTAAAACATGCGCCTTGAGCAGCATTACTTGGTGCACATGACTCAAGGGACACAGTAACCCATTCGTCTTGTGACTGCTCCTTCCCTTCTCAACAGGTTCTATTTTTAGGCACAAAAAATGAGCCAGTTTCCAAAAGTGGACAAGGATAAGAACAGCTTCAGACAATGCCACGATCCCAGAACATTACTTCATTTTCCATTAAGATCCATTTCCAAATGGGATTCCTCTGTCCTGGGGTGCCACACTACATGCCAGACAACCTGCAATTAATCCACTCCAGCAATGCGGAAGCTATGGAGCAGTATGCCTGCAGCATGCAACTGCTCATATCACATATCTGCACTCACTGGACAATAAAATGTAACAGGCAGCGTGCCAGCAGATTCCATATGTGCTTTAACTTTCCCTCACCGCTGAAAATAACGAGGTACAGAAGCATTAATGAAGCCTTGCGTTCAGTGCTGAGGTCACAGGACAGAAACCCTCAGTGCAGAGGTCGTACACAAACACCTGAGCAAAGATGGAAGGCTGGCAGCGTGCTGCGCTTCCACTTTTCCTGCTTCACTCAGGAAAAAACTCTTTGGCCTTGCAGATCACACAGCTAGCCAGGAAAGTGGCAGAAAGCCTTTATTTTATTTTCACTCCATCTGCTAAGTGTCCCAGAAGTTTTATTTTTACATTTTTGCAATCATGTTGAAAGTAACCAGCAGCTTATTGAAATACAAGCTCACTTGCAGGTGTCACTCCTATTGAAACTAACGTATGTGAAAACAATAATGCCTTATAACTATCTAAACACAGCTATTACTCAAAAACTTTACAGATCTGTTACAGATAGTGCATGACAAAGAAATGAGAAAGCCACTGTTGCTTGCATTTTCTGCTTTGCTCTTGTCATTTCTTTCCCTTGGTCCCTTCCTTCATGATGCCTCATGCTAAGCACATACAAAGCAGGCATTTGGCACTGAAACAGCAGAACTCCCATCATGAAATCCTAACTGTGAGGACACCATTTATGTGCTGAAGTAAAGAGCAGCACTACTGCCCTGGAAAACACGAGTACAACATCCTAAGCATCCTTCCCAAGTAACAAGAGCCCTCTTACTTAGCAAAGTAGTGGGAGTGATCTCTGCAGTGAAATGATCCAGTTTGGAGAATACTGAGTCAGAAACCCACCTAAAAGCCTTCTCTGCAGTTCTCACCTTTTTCAGATGACCCAGTCGGAGTTTGAAGATTTCTTCCTGTTCATGGTACTCTGCTAGCGTTAACCTGCATGGAAGAGACAGATCCAAGCTGTTGAATTTCAATGTGTGTTGAAGCACGACTTGCAATATGCACCTTCTCCTATGGAAGCAGTAACTGCACAGAGTATGTCAACATCCAGCAACCTTTTTTGTTTTTTTAGCTCCACAATCTGCCAATCAAGTAAGAGACCAAAAGCTAAACTTCAATAAAGCACAAATCAATTTCAAATTCAGGTTCCTAATAACACTTATTTAGGACGGTGTGAGAATTGTTAACACCACACCTGGCTACAGCAACACTGCAAACTGAGCCACGAACTGGGATTCTGAACTTTTGTTTCAGGCTGTCGGGTGGTTCCAGGGAAATCATGTAAGTTTACTTCACTTTTCTACATCTTTGACCCTGCAAGCAGCTACAGTGGGATAAGGAAACAATTGCCATTTTACTGATGGTAAATAACACGCAATGTTTCCATTCTAAGAGGAGGCAAAATTCAGCCTTATGCTATAACAGTGATAGGGTCCATCCCTGGTGAAATGTAATGCTGCACTGAGATCTGTGAAGTTTCAAAACCAATCATTACACTGATTCTCTCACTGCTGCCAACATGGGTAAAGGCATCATGCATGTGAACATAAGGTTATGAAGTCCACATCAATCGCATCTGTTCACTTTGTAAACAAGATCACATGTGAGAACATACAAATAACCCTTCTGAACCTAAAATTAAGTCCAAACCACACCTCAAGAGGATCCTTGTTGCAGCAGTTATGCTCTGTGTCACACCTAGTACAGAAGTCAGCATGAGTTCTCCACAGCATCAGTATCACACTCAGTTTCAAGAGGAGATGGAGCCCTCTGTCTGCTGGGCTGTGCTCCCTCAGCTCACCTTACAGCCAACTGAGACAATGCTGGATGCAGTTGGTTCAGTGCTGGTCTTGAAATGCCACTACTTCCCTCCCCTGCTTACAGTGCAGAGGGGCTGCACAGCTGAAACAACTTCTACAGCAGCTTTTAAGCAGATAAATCTAACACAAAATTAACAACGCTCCCTTTAAAAGGATTTCAACCATAAGGAAGTGCTTGTTACAAACTGAAGATACATACAAAAAACACCTGGTATGGCAAATGTGTATGTGATGCCTCATTTCATATGAAAGTGTGCTATTCCACAAGAAAAATACAGCAGTTTGAACTTGGATTGGATTTAGCTTATGTAAAAGGCTTTCCAAAATGTTTAGGTCCTTGGTTGATGCTGCTGTGCAAAGAATAAAAAGACAACTGAATAAACCAGCAACAAGCTTTCCACAGCTTCTTGTGCACAAGAGAAATGCAGAGCTAAACACCAACAGTCTACTCATAAAGCAAGAGATGTAACGAGCAGCAGGCTAGCACTGCCCAAAAAAAGCCACGTTTGCAGCAAGCATTACAAAAACCAAGGAGGCTCAAAGACAAACACTGTCCTGTTTCAGAAACACGGCCTGAAATGCACTACTTCTGGTACAGCTGAGGCTCTAAAACTGCCCAAGTGTTCAACAAACCCCAAGATTAATCCAGCAGATATTGTCTGTGAATGACAACATGTGCTTCATTCACTTTTTTCAGGAGAGTGATGCTGGGGCAGGGTACCTCTGAACCCACGTAATGAAACCTTCCCCTTCTTTCTAAGGCACAGCAACAGCCATGAACTTAAGAGGAAACAAAAATCAAGTGAAATTATTTGGCCAACCACTCGCCATTCAAGTTTCACCAGCATTTACGTTCAGTTTGCACAGAAACCACTGTAAGAATTCCACAAAATGTAAAACCTCCCTCCAACACCAGGAAGATGTTGTACCTGAATCACATCAGTCCAACAACAGCATCTGTGTGCAAGCAGTCACTGCAGCTGATTACAAAACCAGTGTATTCATCATAAGCTGCAACACTCCAAGTGAACAGCTGAGCAGTTTTAATTAACACCACAAGTAACTCTTCTAAACCACAAAGATAAAACCTTAAAATACAGTGGCAAAGAATGACAGAGCAGCAAGAAACGCTAAGAAAATGACTGGGCAGCACAAAAAGGCTCACCAGCAGAACCAGGTAGAGTGGAAATCACCTCACTGCAGGCTCTCTACAGGTAGAAACTCACTGGATATCACAGATAAACATCGTGATTGCCAGGCTATATCAAGACCCACATTGCCATGCCAACAGCATAAGCCTCAGTGCAGCTGCACTCTTCTGTTAGGCAAAACCATCACTACACAAATTGGGAAGCATTATGTTGTCGCTCAGATGGGTGACCATGTGCAATTTACTTCTCCAAAATCCAACTGCCATTAAAAAACTCAGCTTTTAAAGCGTATTCAGTTGTTTTTAAGCCCTCTTGGCCACAGTGAGGGGTCAAGATCTCCATTCAAGCTACGTATTTGCAGGAAGCATATACTGCACTCCTATACAGACCTGACCAGTCTCAGCATCCTTACCTGGGGCACCACTTTGGCAAGTGAGAGCATTTCAAACACACAGCTAACCCAACCATGTGCCACCTTTGCTGCAGGTGGAAAAAAAGAGTGGGAGCTTTTGTTTAATATGCACTTTTCAAAGTGCAAGAATACAAAGGGCTCCACAACCTCTAAGTAAGGCCATAACAAGGAGATTTAACAGTGCAAAGAGAGAAGTGTCATTGAGAATTATGGTATTAGCCAACAGCAATAAAATGATGACTGAAAAGTAGACTTGTAGAAGCTACAGGGAAGTACTGACTGCCCAGAGTGGGGAGAAAAAGAAGAAAGGAAAACTAGGTCATGTGCCTCAGCAGCACATTGAGAGTCAGTTTTATTTACAATAAGGTTACTTAATGTGATTTCCAACAAGAAACAAGCTGCTCAGGGTTTGGCTTCAATTTGCAAGTAGCAAACACTTTTAAAGAAGTAAGAGCAACGACTAAAAGTTCTGGTGAGAAGCTTTGCTCTCTAAGAGCACCAGCATTCCCAAAGTATCAACAACCTCAAAAAGAGAAGCAGGGCTCCTGTGAGATGAGACAGCAGTACTTAAATAATGCTTCCATTTCCCTCACTCAAATATCTGGAAAGAACTGCTTTTGAGATACAGTTCAACCTATTATGCACTGTCTTTATAGAGCACCTTTTTCCTCAGCATACCAAACCCATTCTTTGAACAGCCCCACCAGAAGGTACACAGACAAAAAAGCTCCTGAATATGTTTTGTTTTTTCAAGCAAAGTGTTGTACAGTGTTACCAAAACTAAGGGTGAAGTCTTTTACTTCCTTTGCACATCGCATTTTTCAGCTCTCTTGCTGCATCAAGTTTGAAAACTTACTGCATTCAAAAGAAATTAAGCTCACAAAAATTCCGGACTCAGCAATGATCCATGTTTTACTCCAATGAAAACTATTTAGAACTGCAGCCAGATGTTTCTGAATGCCAGGCTAATTCCACACTATTCATTTGTGCGTGTAGTGAAGCCCAGAGGCAAGGGCAAAATTCCATTTCCCAGTGGATATTTTGTGCTCTAATCAAAGCATGCAGCTTTGCAAGGCACAAAGAAGGCCACAGAACCTACGTTTCATTTTCTGCTCCGTTGGTTTTGTTCTTGCGCTGCTTCTGCTCATTGCTTGCTGGGGGGGTTTGGCCCATGGCAGGTGGCTTCCGTTTTGCTAACATTTTTCGTTGCCTTTCTATTTCTTCTCGCTGGGAATTTATCCTTTCCTGTTGCCTGGAAAGACGAGGGCAGAAGAAAAATAAAACAAACAAAACACAAAGCAGATAACTAATGGAATGTACTCAGTCGTCCTCAGCATCTGCTTTTAGCAGACTTGAGCAATGAATTCCAATCAGCTGTACTCTTAGATTACCAACAAAATACTCTTGTTCAGAAAGGGAGGATGTGCCAAACATTGACTCAGATTTTTTTTTTTTTTTTTTCCAAGGTATTTTTCACATAGAAGTGGATTCTTTTCCCGGCCCCACAGAAACCTTTCAGTCAGTGAAAGGTTTTATTCATGCAGAGGATATCCAAAACCAAGGAGCTGCTAACCTCATGGAAAACCCAGGGATCTATGGTAAGTCACTAAGTTTCCACACACTTTTTTCCTAGAATACTCTGTTCTAAATCCTAGACTTTCCTGTTTGAACTGTTCCTGAAGTCTGGCACTGTCTGAGAAAGTATCCCTATGCTTTAAGGGTACAGTTCAGCTATCCTCAGTTTTCTGAAGCATAATTAACACCATCCCCAATTTCACGAAGAAAAGAGTCCTTCTGTTTCAGAGGGGAGATTATCGTAAAGCTGCCTTGTTATTTTACAGTGATAAAAGCATTTGTGGAATTACAAACTAAATGACTTGTGAATTCAGATGCTTAATTCACAGTTTAAAACAGACTGAGATTGCAGGTAAGGATTCCAGAAGTATTTCTTCCATGTCTTACAGCACAAACTAAGGAGAATATTAGCATGCTCACAATCTGCACCCAACAACATGTGCACCTTCTATTAGATCACAGAAAAATTAGATGGTTTTAATGGATTACACACAGCTCTCTCTGTGCAATTAATTTGCCAAGTCCTACTTAAAGGTCGAGGCCAGGTGGGAATTTACTGGATATTTCCATTAATATCCTGCATAAAAGGGTGTCTGATCTTCGTTTCCAGGTTTCTGCAGCTACTTTGATCACAGTTACCAAAAGGCAAAAAAAGTTAAATAGCATGGATTTTCTTTTTTAAGTTTTTTTTTTTTTTTTCCTTTTAAAGTTAAAAGGTAGAAAAGGGGGAGAGGAGGAGGGGGGGGAAGATAAGCAACTTTCCTGGAGGAATATAAGCAGATATGCAAACCAAATTGATTGACTCCGGATACACATGAGAGTCTGGCCTCGCTCTCCCCACACTCTATGCATTGCACAGCCAGACAGGTGCACTGAGAACACCTAACAGGGCAGCCTGCTTCTTTCCAATCCAGAGGCCAACTCAAACAATTTGACTCCAGTTTTAAGTCTCTGGAGTTAAGTGGAAGCATATTTCTCACTAAAAGGTTCCTCGCTGTCTGTAGCCGAGTCCTTGTCTGATCCTTTCATGCATCAGTCACACCGTTCTCCCATTTTGACATGCAAGACATCACACACAACTGCTTAGTTTCTCCTTTTCTGCTCCTGCAGGTAAAGAAAACTGTCCTCACTTGATGAGGTTCTGGAAGGCATAGCCATCTGTCCACTGCTCAGTGAAGGACGCCCCGTGCCGCACCGTGGTGAAGTGGCCCAGCCTCAATCGATCCTGCATGCTCTTATCTCTGCACGCCATCTTCTCCTGTTTTGACTGAAAACAAAACACGTGTTAAAATAAAACCCACAGATCAGCAGCTAAGAGTTAGGCCTTGTCTAAACTCACTTCCAATCCCTGACACCTTTTGCTCTGTTCCAGTACTGCTTACCTGAAACCAGCTGAACTTTATTGGTGAAATTACTAATGGTGCTTTTGCAGTCTGACAGCTTCTTTTCTGGCATTTCAGCTTTCTATTTTCTTTCCCGTTACTGCTTTGGCTGCTCATCCATTCTATCATCAGTTGAAACTCAATTTAACAGTAGGATTAAAACTATCTCTACATCAGTAGCTTAGCTGGACTTCAGATACGTCTCTCATCAGGCCCTTATTCACTCTAATAGGAGATGAAGGAGGAAAACGCACCCCAAATCAACATTAAGACTAAGATACAGTGGTAAGCCAACTCAATCCTAGCCAAACAGCACTCCCAGAAGAGACAGCCTCAATTAAGACTCCAACAGAAAAAGAGTGGTGGTGGTCTCCGTCACAGAGTATTTCCAGTAAGTGAAAGAAAGTTTCTAAAGCCTGAGGCGAGAACAGCAAAGATTCAGTCAATTAAGATTAAAGATGAACCAGCACAGCTCCTCACTGGAGCTACACGCTGCTTATCTGAACGCCAGGTCTACGTAACACAGCCCAGAGTTACAAATCCTCCCAGAAAACGGAGTCCCATTCAGCCAAGAACAATCAGCTCAGTGACAAAAGCAAATCAAACAGACTGCCCACGCTGGCCAGCACCCAGGTATCTGTGCCCATCCAGTGCCCACGAACAATTGGTGTTATTGGCCAACAGGTGAAAGAGAATCAAAACCCCACATTGTTGAACTAAAAGGAAATCTGCAAATCTTTCAACAGCGAAGCAAGCTGGATGCCTGTAAACAACAGCTTGGCACTTTCTCAGAGTCTTTTTCATGTTATTTTAAGTACTGTGCAAAGCAATGATCTCCAGCTCCGTCATTTGAAAGAAGAAAGTTTTAAATCACTTGCCCGTGTCACAGAGCAGATCTGGCAATTTCACTTCACAATGGGACACCGCTCCTGTACAGCAAGTGCTGGACAAAGGCACTTTTCAGATATACAAGTGTCAAAGCAAGTAATGCCTGCTGCATTTAGAGCTCAGACTATTTCACTTAAGCAAGGGAGATCTCTGAGACTCAAAAATAACCAAACATTCTGAATGCTTTCAGTCTTCAGATTACATTCCTATTTGCAGAGAAACAATTCAAGACAAAATTCCAGTTGTCTCTTATCACCAGAGCAATAGGAGCAGATTTTCACTGCCAAGAAAGATAGAGAAGCTTTCAAATGCACCAGCTGTAACTGCAGCCTGCTGCTCACCTTTTCTATAAGGAGCTTCTTGCTCATCGTTACACATCTATTCAACCTCTCCTTGTACTTCTCCAGCATCTTTTGTTGTTCATCTATCTGCCGTCTCAAATCGCAGTTGGCCTAAAAGAGAACAGAGAAGACAAGCCTTTAAGTCACTCAGTGAGAGCCAAGCTGAGCACCACCTAGAAAGAAAGCTAGCTTGAGGCATCAGATAAAGGAGAGCAAAGCAGGCAGGATAAAGGAGAAAAAGAAAAAATGCAAAAAGGCCATGTTTCTCTTCTCTAAACATCCAAGCAAAGCTCTTGTATTTTTAACCCATTCAGACCTTAGCACCCTATAAAAGTGTTATCATTCTTTTACACATGAAAAACTAAGGTACAAAGAAACTAAGCACAAGGACTTTATTATTTATTTTTAAAGCAACTGAGACCTTGTCACAGCTATCTCAGAACAGCTTAGTCAACCCTAGAGTCTCCTCTCCATTTTAGCCACAATACTGGCAGAGTAAAAGGACAGACTTCACATTTTCAATTAAATTCTCCTCTGAGCTACTGTCCATCAGCCCTGCTATAGACTTCTCCCAGTAATACTGACACAGTGCACAGTGGTATCTGATGTGCTACTATTTTCACTGATAAAAAGTTAAGTTTAACTCTCCCTTTTCCAACCAACAGCTTCTGATTTTAACTGATTTTCTGATAGTAAAAATCCTGCTCCGTGGATTGTTTTCCCACAAGGCCACATGAGCTTTCATGTGCATCTCTAAGACCATGCCTTAGTTTTTAGGTACTGAGACCAGATACACACACAGTCTTTGCTCTTCTCCTTTTAGTGCATTTTCTAATCCTTTTCAGCACTTCACAAGAGATGCCCCTCCAGCTGATGAAAGGCAGATCAACTACAACTCCTCCATTACGAAAAATACCTTTAAATCAAGGATCTCATCTTTTACTGAAGAGCACTAATGAGACAGAGCAGCTTTACTCTTCAGGTTTGACCAAAATATGTGCTCTTCATCTCTGTTTGTCTCGCTGATTCATAAATCAACATTTCAGAATGAACTCCCTACTGAGAGGTCGCAGAACATGCTACTAAGCAAGAGGCAGGCAGCACCCCAGCATTTAGAAGGGGATAATTCTGAAGAGAAATATGTTAAGTTAGCTAACAAAACTCACAACAAGGGAGCAAAAGATCAAAGAAAGACCAACCCTGCTGAGGAGACAAAAACCTGAGCTCAGCTACAATGGTTCTGCACTACAGACCCACGCTGTTACAGCTGCCCTGGTTGTGGATTCAAGCAGGCCCAAGCAGAGTGCAAACCAGATAATTACTTTGAGAGTAAGAGGTGACTGATTCGTTTAACCCTTGTGAGTGCTGGCTCTGCAAGTGGTCAGTACACAAAATGCTGGCACAGGTGTTCTTGGGATCTTTAAATAGCAGCTTTTAGAAGAGTTGTCCCATTTCAAATACTTACTCTTAGCAAGTCATCTATCCTCCCTTCCTTCTTCTCCAAGTCAGAGTTCTTACTGTTTTCTAGTGCAGATATTTTTTCCATTGTGAGGTCCGACTGTAGAGGAAAACCACCATAAACCACATTTAATAAGAACAGCAGATATTTCACAGTTAGCACATTTCATCACAGAATAACCCTCTTGAAGCCAAACAGATTTAAGAATGAACAAAATCCCCTCCCATTTCCCAGGCCAGGGGATGTCCTCCACTCTTCATTCTCTTATGGCATGATGGGCTGTTTCAACACAGGAGGCCTGGACAGTCAGCACAAAGGCCTAATGCTCTGCTCTGGAGAATGCAGACACAACAAGCTACCACCACCTCCACATACTGTCAGTTTTGTTTCAACAGCTGAATTTTGCCCAGCCCACAGTGGTCTCTAACACTCAGCACCCTTTCCTGCACTGCAACACAACCTGCACAAGGCAAAAATGAAAACCAACCCACTAAAAGTCACCCCTCAGCTGGAATACCAAATCGATGGCCACAAACAACCACTAGACAAAGTGACAAAGTGGCTAGACAAAAGACAATATCTACGAGTTTGGGTTTTTTTCAGTCTTGGCCAAAAATGCAGGTGCTTATTTTAAAATGTAACAGATTGACATTATTTACATAATTAGGCACAAGCTTTTCCTTCCAACAAACTGATGTGTTTTTGCCCAGAAGGGTCCCAACCTTTACTGTTTTTGAGTGAAATCTGTTGGGAAAATTGTACCAGGTGCAGCATATATCAAATACCTTCACCCAATGATATGTTACGTCCATAAACAAAATACAAAAGACATGCTATATTTTGCAGCAACAAGAATATTTCAAACTCAGGATTCCAATTAATTGGTAGGGAAGAAGTCAGTATGCACATGAACATAACATCTAAAAAAACCAAACAAACAGGAGCTCAAGGGAATCTTGTTCCTTGTCTGCAAACACAGATTTCACATTTACAGCTAGAAAGCCACTATCCTGATTCTGAGAAGAGTTAGCAGAGACTTACCTGCAGAGTTCTTAATAACTGTTCTCCAAATTCCAGGCTTGCCTGGAAGCTAACACCATGAAGCAAGAGACAAACTTGGTAGACTGAACACTATTACTTCTCTATCCAGTATGGGAAAGATCAAAATGAAAACCTGCCAGCACTGCATCTCAAGCAAGATGAGCCTAAATCCCACAAGATACAGAGAAGGCTCAGGCAGGTCACCTCACTGCTGCCTTCACTTCATTGATGCTGCCTGACAGCCTGCAGGAGGCACGCAAGGCTAAAACTTCTGTGGCTGTTGAGAACTCAAGACTGTATCCACTCAGCCAAGCAGCAAAAGTTTCTTCAGTAACTGTTACATCCTCTTGTCAGACAGACATACATGCTTGCACTGTGTCAGATGATGTCATGCTTCAGGATGTATGCTTCTACATGCACAGTGATTTATTTCACCACAACTCACCTTGCCTCAGAGAACTTGGAAGCCCTTGCACTGATGGAAAATGCTTGGGAAATTATGCTCATACTCCCTTGCTTTTGGCATTGCCAAGAAGTTCAAGCTGGAAATCTCTGAGTGTTTTATTTTCCCCATCTATCAACCTCAAATAGTTTGAGAAAACATAAAAATGTACAATATTCTCATCGCACAGGCAAGCATCTTTACAGATTTTTTGCCTTAAGCATCTACTACATCTGCATCTCTGGAAAATACAAGGAAGCTGAGTGCTGGCACAAAGCATACTAAGCTAACACATCTCCCTTCTTAGCAAAGATGGATGCTGCAGGCTTGTTGAGCACAGGAGACAAGAATATCTTGCTCGCTACAGCTGGTACCACTATTTCAGGCAGCGATGTTGGGATAGCAGAGGCTGACATGTGAAAAGCCTCTCTGGCAGGTACTTGAGCCTTGGCATCATTCTATCACAAGCAAGACGCAGGGATCTTCACAGACCAGCATTTTAACAATACAGACAACAGAGCTGACCCCAGCGACACGACAGGTCTCAGAGATGTTAGCTAGTTAGCATCCCCAGTAATTCTTCATGCACAAAGAACTTGTACCACCTGCTGGGGAAATGGAGAATGAACTTGCCCCAGCAGTGAAACTATCTGACACAAACCGATGTGTGGAAATGACTGACACAAAACCGACTGCTTAGAAATCACTGGAGGGAAGGGTCACTCATGGAGTAATCAGAGATGAAAATCAAAAGATTAAGAGAAGGCATGAAGAACAAACGAGCAAGATGCACTGTAGGTAAAGCTTAATGTCCTGCTATGCAACAGAGGAAGATGACACAGCTAGAAGTAAATCTTGCTGCAACGCCACAAGAAGAATCTTAACAGATTATAAAAGGAATCACAAGACTGGCACAAATGAAACAGCTATTCCTCCTCTTGACTCCAGCTCATTGAACTTGCTGAGAAGCACCTTCAAGACGACATCACGTCTCACCTTCTCAGGGCAAACTAGGTCACAGGTGTACTCAACAACTGCAGAGGACAAAGAACTTGCAGCTAGGCTGTGGGTATTTGTGTAATCAGTGTGGATGCACCCATGATTGACAGCACTCAAATAGAGGTATCCATAAGTACAATTTACTTCATGTATTCACTAATAAGGAGAGGAAGAACATTGAAGATACAACACAACTGAAACGGACAGGGCAAGACACAGCTATTCCTCCCCTGAGCGTGTTCTCATGCAGTTGAAAAACCGGCCACAATACTGACACAGAAAAGCCTCAGGAACATATCAAGCAAACTCCAGTAGCAACAGCTGAGAAGTATCCTTTTACAGGATAAAGAACAAAGTTCAATGTGATTCACCTTTAATCAGTACAGTTAAAGACTAAGTCGGTACTACCAGTTCTTTTGACATTGAGTCTATTTCAAGTGGTGCAGAAGACAAGCTACACCAAGTTTAAATCTCGTATCCAAGAGATGTATCATCTGGTAAGCTATACCTGTGACTGTTTGTGCTGGATGGAAATCTGTTTTTGGGAAGTGCAGGAATGCTCAGTGTTCCCTGATCCCGTAGAAGATGGGCTGCCTTGCTGGGCCTGCAAAAGAAAGTCAGGGTATTGTTATATGCTCCTCAACATGACTGCTGGTGCCCATGCAGATACACTTATCTTTACATGGGAGGTGTAATCTGGCCTGGGTACCATACTTTTATGTTAAGGTTTAAGAATGCTCTAGTTCATTAACACAAGAGAATCAGCTGCTCTGAAGAAGTCTGGCCCAACCTGCTAAAAGACAAAGCTTTTAAAAAACCTAGTGTAACTCATGTCAGCTGAGATTAAGCTAGCCCAAAATTTACGCTTCTAAAAGCAAGGCTGTACTCCATTCTTTTTGATTTTCACAGTCAAGCAGGCACTCGCACTGCTGTTTCCATCTACGTAAGACTTTTAAATTGTTAACTTAAAACTCAACTCATTTTATTAACAAGCAAAGCCTGGGACCTGGAACTCTTCACAAGGAAGAAGAACTTACCAGAAGATGGTAGACTTGGTCATCAACAAACCAGGCTGCACTTGAGTTCCTTCAAATGCCCCATCCCTTAACTAGAAACATCCCCTGGCATTCAAGTCCTTTCAGAGCTGCTCACCGAGACAAAAGTAAAGCAGAGGCCACCTCCCCTCTGTGCCAGCTGCTCATTCTCTAGCCGCTGTTTCGCCAGCATCACCGACATCAGCGTTGGCAGAGCAGAGTGATCCTCCTGCGGTTCCTTTGCTGTGCTGCCGTCTACCCCATACAGCGGCTGCTCCACTCGCCGCTGTAACACAGTCAAGAAAGAGACAATAAACTTTTTTTCCTTTTTTTTTTTTCTTTTTAATTTAAATTTATATTTTTTTTTAAAAACTGATTCTCTGACTCTGCCAAAACTGTTGCCAGTGAAGCAGCTGCTCAGGAATGGGCAGGCAGCACGGTGAGGTTCTCATCGTTCCAACTGGATTCCCAGAATGTTTGTTCCAATGTCAGACATCAAAAAGGAGATGAAGTTAGCAATTTAACAAAATAACAAATGGACACACAGGACAGAATTCCTTGTCAGTTGACACACCCCCTTCCTTTGAAAATATTTTGGAGCCAGTGGGGTAATATAGGTCAGAGATGCAGAAGTCACAGTACAGTGTAACTCTGCTTGAAGTTACAATACTTTGTTTATTAAGGACTCATTTTAACACAGTCAGTTGTCATCATAAATTGGCTGCCCCAGTGAAGTAAACCAAGTCATAACTTCTAAATGCAGTGACCTAACCACATCCAAGATCCAGATATCAAGTAGCCTCATTTCTGTCATTAAGGCAGGGATAAACCACTTGTGAGATAAGCAAAGCACTAACATATTCCTAACATTCTTCACAAAGATGCAGAGCATCTGTAAGGGCCAGCTTCCTTCTCATACAGAGGACTCGTTTTCCAAAGGTGATCCAGAAATGGGGTTCAGTAAGAACAAGAGTTATCTGAGCCATGTTGATTACAGCACTCAGACTTCAAAAGCCAGCCCTACCCAGACTTGGCAGCCTGGGTAGCACTCATCTAAGTCATTCCAAGCCATAACTCCAGGCCAGGCATACAGCACAGAGAAAGCAAGAAGTCAGGTCAGGCTCTAGTTTCTCTTAAAACCCAAACTGCAACCTGCAGCATGTTTTCTGCCTAACATTACAGATGTCAAGAGCTTTCTTCCCTCAGTGGAACATCTGCATATGAGAGCGACCTTGCAAGAGGCTGAAGACCTGCACATCATTCTTCCGATCAAAGGAGAAGCAAGGCAATTTAAAGCAGTCAAGAGATTTGAAGACAAGAAGCAACAACCTGATGCCATTACAATTCCTGTGCAAGTCCTCACTGCAGACAACTTCCAGAACAGCATACATTAACTCACAGGTTTGTCTCCCTGTGAAAGACATTTTAACACTCCGCTCTCTTCCTAGACCACACTGACATCTGCAATGGATAAGATATTCCATCTCCTCCAGTTTCCACTCATCCCCCCACTTTTGGGGCTTAGCTCAAGCTGTTGGTATTCAGTTTGTAAGAAGATGATAGATCTTGCAAACGCACATAATAGTTTGTTATGAATATGCAAACATTGCAAGTTTAGCTGCAAGAGTAAAGAAGAGAAGATAAGAACCACAAAGAGCACCTGCTCAAGCAGAGAGACAAACTGACCTAGCCCAAACTAACTGTACCATCAGCCTTCACCACATGAGAAATGCTTTGTTCAACCTTTTACCTACTCCATATACACAAGCAGAGAAGAAAAGCAAAGGAAGACTCATGTAGTCCCATTATAAACACCTGTAGGTTGGAACAGAGAGCTCTCCCTACTTTTGGAGGTATTCCTTCTTTCATTAACTTCTTTTCAAGGAGGAGTATTAGTGAATTAATAAGACAAGGATGATCAATTATAGATAGATTTTGTACTTATAGTCATTCAAGACATCTAGAAGCACAGCTGAAGCTCACCCTTAAAGCAGCACTGCAGAGTTTCAGTATCTAGTAACATGTATTGAATTCAGTGCTGGGATTTAGTTCAGCACACATTCATGAAATGTGCAAAGGTCTCTGCAGAATAATGCAACCAGTGAAGTCTTTGCATTTGGTTTTCAGGGTACGAATCTTTCCCATAGAGCTCTGTGCTTCTGTGACACTCAACAAATACTGAAACATTTTAAAGAAGGGTGATGGCAACGTTCAAAACTAGAGATCAAATACCGCTGCCTCTGAATGCTGCTTTGCTAGTTGAAAGAAATTTCTTTAGCTTGTGCAAAAACAGCTTAAAATACTGGTTATTCCTTCATGTTCAGATTGTGCAGAAATGCTCAGACAGCAAAATTGAATTATTTAAACAAAAAACACCAACAGATGTGCTTGTATACACATCTCTTAGCAAGCTTTCGCCATGCTCCTCACAAGTCACATGCACAGACAGAAGGAAAAGATTTTCCCAATATTATGATGGTATGTACATCTTTCCTTAGACCCAAAGAGTGAAATCAAGATCAGAAATATCACTGTACTGGTGCTACATAAGCATACATGATGCTCCCAACTTCATGTAGAAGTTCATGAGCCACACTAGAGTGCAAGGCAACAGCAATTAAACCAGTTCCTTCTTTTCTTAAGAACAGCAAGCCATCTGTATCCACACAGCATGTAAAAAAACAGACTGTGATGCTTTAAGCTCAGATAGTGACATCATTTGCAACTGGACTAACAACTGCTGCAGGATCCTAAACATTCAGCTTTGCTGCCCAAACCCAGTTTCAGCTATAAAAAAACAAAACAACAAAGCACAACAACACAATGCAAAACCAACCAACAAAAAAAAAAAAACACAAAGAGAAGTGATTAAAGACCAAGAAACCACTTACCAAGAGACCCTTCCTTCCTGTTCAGAACATTTTATCATCACCTGCCTGAAGCACGGCCACCAACAGAAGCAATGTGCCACCCACACCATCCCCAGGAGAACACTTACTGGTAAGGGGTTGGATAAGGAATGCTGCGGTGATGATCTGGCAACTGGTGGCACACTTCTACCAGGACTGGTTCCTGGGCCGCTTCCCCCAGCAAACTGACCAAAGCAACAGATTTGATCATCAGTCATTCCACAGAGATGCTGTACTTCAGTACATTTAACAGAGAAAGAAGCAACGTGATATTAAAGATGAAGCCACACAGGCTCCTGGGACTCATTTAAACAAACCGAAGATAAGCTGGGAGGAAAACTTTAAAATTTCATGCGTTGTTGTCAAAAATAACAGCGAAAGTTCGTGCTTCAGACAAACATTTACATTTGCACTGGGTACATTTCTCATTTTAAGACAAAAGACATAAGCCAGCTCGTCGCTAATGCTTGGCTGTACACTAATTATTTACTGTGCGGAATTAGGAATTCAATTCTCTGAATTGAGGAGCTGTGTCTAACTGCACACCACGGAAGCATTCGTGCCAGTTGCTGTGGAAGATGAGATACGTAAGCAGCTGGGCAACTGGTCTAGATGGTACAGGAACTGTTCTGCACTGCACAATCATGGAATCACAGAATGGCTTGGGTTGGAAGGCACCCCAAGGATCATCAAGTTCCAACCCCTCTGCCATAGGCAGGGCCACCAACCACCAATACAGCTCACTTATCAAAAACTTAAACCAGGAAAGAAATGAGCACTAATAAACAGTTGATTTCTGACTCAAAGCTAACAAGTAAAATAAAGAAGAAACTTCTGGGGCTGGGGGGGGGTGGGGGTGTGGGAGGAGGCAGGTAGGTTCCTTTGCACAGGACCTTGTATTAAAGTAGGATTGCATGCTAAGAGCACAAATATCCTCACCCAAGATCCAGGTGCCAGGCCTACATTTACACGACCTCTCTTTAAAATAAAAACCAAAACTGCTTCATCAGTGGTTCAAAGAGAATTTAAAAACCAGCTTCCAAAAAATCTCACATCCCCCACCCAACCACAGTTGGATGCATCAGGTTAACATTATCAATCAATGACTCCAAACTATTATTTAATAGGACAGATCAGTAACAGCAGTCACGTTACAGACCTCCATCTGCTGATTACATACAACACGAATTCAATCAGATTTCTCAATTTATGTAAAGATACTTACCTCAAAATAGTCACTAATTTTATGTCCTCTAGGAGTGCCTTTTCCTACAAGGAAAAATGAAGAATGAAAATCAAAGAGTTTATATATGTATATATACACACACACACACACATTTAGAACAGAAATTATGAAATAGTTTTCTGAAAACTACTCCTGTACTTCAACACTCTTTTCCCTGTACTTCTTTAGGTGCAACAATGACCATAACAGAAGCTTCTAAAGAACAAAAGACTGCCCCAGGGTTACAGCTCTGTGTGGCTGCTGGGAGGGTTTAGAGTTGACAATTCAATTAACTCTCAATTCCAAACACGTCAAATCTGATCAAACATCATTTGTACTTGCTGAAGGACTTAAAAAACACGAAACCTCGCTGGACACTCAACAGTTCTCCAAACTTTCCTTCAAGATGAGGGCAGAGCAAAGGGTACTTTTACCTCTACTTTACTCCATCACCTTCACATAAATTACTGCACATTAGATTTCTCACAAGCATCCCTGTAAAAGTTAGAGAAAAAACTAGCAGTGGCTTAATAGCACCTCATTAAAAATTAGCCCTTCTGTCTTACTGTAGTGTTATCAAAGCCATTCTGTCAACGCAATCCTCAGTACTTTCTTTTGAAGAACAAAAGAAATAAATCTGCCCCTGTGCCCCATAGGAAATCCGAACTTGGACCAAAACACTCTGGTTCTTCTCAGTACTTTGAGTCAGCACTGTCTGCTTTATTCTCAAGTACAGTTTGTTCCCTATTTGTTATGGTGAGAACCTCCTTTAACAAAGCAGGCATACGTCTCAAATAGGCAAGAGAGAGTACATCCTGTATTTTGAAGCCTGGCTGCAGTATGCATAGTGACATGGGACCAGAACGACACTGCAGAGATGCCATATTAAGCCTTTGGGCAGTCTGCCCCAAAAACTCTAATCATTTGGGTAAATCAGCTCAAGATGAGTGTTTTCCTGCCAATAGGGACAACAAGGTTCCCAGAAGAGAACTACACCATCACGGAGCAGTTCACAACAAGCTGCCTGACACACACCCTTGAGGAGAGCCATTAGTTTCCTCAGACACTGACTGTGCCAAACGCACACAAATCACCAACCACTCAGAAATCCTACAGCTGGGTCAGGAAAATGGATTACCTTGACTGGTCTCATACGCTTCTGCTTTCCTTTTTCTATTCCGCTGGTCATTCTGTTTTTTCTCAGGAGTCTGTTAAACAATACTTGAAAATTAACATTTCTGCAGTTATTCCAAAGTTTAAAGAAAATGCCAAAACACAATAATCTGCTCCACATCCCCAGTGGCCATTTCATTTCTCTGGTGCATTTGCTTCTACTGCTGGTACTTAAAGAAACAATAGCTCTCAAAGAGCTGCTACCTTTGGATACAAGCACTGCAAAATGGACAGAACTCGGTTAGAAATTAGGTTAATTTCCTCTCCCCTCCCCCCTCTTTTTAGTTGCAATATGCCAGCCTCACAGTTAGCAGAACAAGTTCACATAAAAAAAGTGAAAATAAAACAATCTGTGTAAACCATTTGAGGATGACTGCAGAACTGGCACAAGGGGCGCAGGGTGACTGAGGACAGGACAGTTCATCTTCCTGAAGCTGTTTGCACACGGCTGTCAGAACTGTGCCATCCATTGGTGCACATCTGCAACCTTGCACAAACAAAGGCAGAGTTCCCTGAGATGGCAGCCAGGAGAAAGCTGCCACAGATGCAGCACTTCATCTGGATTCGGTTTGTTTTGCATCTGTTCTCATTAAGGTGAGAGCAAAAGGGACCCTGGCATGGTGCATGCTGTGTCACCAGAGACACATATGTGGCCAACCCTGCTGAGATCATGAGGAAACACAGCACTCCAAACAGCTCACCGAGGCTGCTGGAAAGAGAGATGTCTTGTCATTTCCATCACTGTGTCATTAGCAAAAGAATCTCTTACCCATCCTAAAGAGTCCCAAATGATTTCCAAGCTATAGGCTTTGCAATCACTTCAGTCACTGCAAAGCTGCAGCCCAGGGGCAAGAGGAAAACCACAGTGTGCAAAACAACATTGGGGGAGGGAAAGGCATGGGCAGAAAGTTTGTGGTAAACCTAAGCTTCGTGCTCTTTGGAAACCAAAGTCCAAAGTACCCTGTTTAAGACCTCTGCCAAAAGACTTGCTCACAGTAAGCACAGAAATCAAGCTACCTCCTTTAATAGGATGAAAAGGATAAAGCTGACACAGCCAGAACCCAAACCTGGCTGCATCCCCAGCAGATGCTGGACACCTTTGGTCCCACATCACCAACCAGGCCATCGCTGTTATCTTGGTAAGATGATGGAAGGCTTGTTAAGACTGAGGTGGCCACTGTGACTGCAAAGCACTTTTTAAAATTGAGAGGCTAAAAAAACCTCTGTAACAATCGAGAGAGTTGCTGCACCAGCTCCAACACGTGTACCAGTGAATGAAAAAGCCTCCTCAGTGCTGAGCGAAGAGCAACTCATGCTGGAGTGACTGTAACAACACCAGCCCCACATTACAGCCTCCGTGGAATTCTAGGCATATTAATGAGAGTCAGTTTCAGTTGTTTTTCCACTCAAGTACATTTATATAACCAAAATTACACACAACATTATCTTTTATAGACTGAAAAGCCAGGAATGGAAGATTTGATTATGTAAGCTTGGTCAATTTAAATCACTCCACACAGGCTGATCAAAAATCAAGTAAAATAAGACATAATGCTCAATCTTTCACTCTCAGCTGTACTTGCAGATACTTTGTTCTTGAATGACTTAGCTTTACCAGACACCTCACATCAGTAATGCTACATAATAGAAGGAAATATGGCCCACAACTTACCTGGTAATTGGGTGGAAAGAGCTTTAAAGCCATAAGAAAATGGCCTTTAATTTGAGACACTGTCATTTGAACGTGTGATTTTAAAACAAAAAAAAATTAACTCTGCAGTTCATTTTCTGCTGCTTTAGCAAGTGTTTAGAAATAGCTGACACTAAAGCAGTGAGTTTAAATGGGGACAAAGGATCAATTTTCACCTCCCCACAATTCTACAGAGTGGTTCATGAGAACACTCAGCTCTGTAGAGGCTTTTGCAAATCCACATTTTTGATAGGTAAGGCAAACTTTTCCATTAATGCTCTCTGGCTTTTTGTTTGGCCAAAACTTTATCCAAAACCCACAAACAAATCACAATGCAGCTGAAAACAATTTCATAAGCTGAGTTTTATGAATGTTGTGTTTTTTTTGGGGGGGTTGGGTAAAATGTGTTGCAGTGGGAAGCTTCAAGAAGGGTTGTTTCACAGCGTGGTCCGAAGGCTGTGCTTGTTCCCATAAAATTCCTTCTACACTTTCAATCCAATCGTGTTTAACTCAAACTGGATGACTGTTTGGGTTTGTGCCTGCTTACCTCCAGTTCTTTATCACTGAGAGAACCCACGCTGCATAAGCTCTGGTTGGAAGACTCGCTATTTAATGGACCCTAGTGGAAAACAAGCAAATATAGTTAGAAAGTTTCCCTACAAGGCAGATACACTCTATCACACATTGCATCGCTGGGCAAACTATGCTGCACTAAGCCACGTGGATACAGCAGCAACACGGGTCAAATATCTATACACATGGTAGTGCACTAAAAACTGCACAAGTCATGAGGAACAAGACTGAAGCCAGGCAGCTTTTTCTCAGTATTCTGATTTGGCTTTTGCAATTATGTCTATTTCTGCATCAGTTTAATTCCTATCTAACCACAGTCACAAAGCAGTCAAGGCAGCATTCAAAAGGTCTAAGACAGCTAACTGGCTTGAGAAACAAAACTGATCTGTTGAGCAGCATTAGTTCAAAGCACAGGTCTTTAGGCAAGCATCTGCTTGGCCTCGGCTACAACTTTAGAGGCAAGGCATACATTACTGGTATCAGATGCTGGCAGCACCACCAAATTTTCTTTCATTTTTTTTTAATGTATATTTTTTTCCACTAAGAAAGTGAACAAGTTGTGTTAACAGCAGTAAAACTGTCACCCACACGACAATCCCTCTCACCAGGCTATTTTATGGGCCCACAGCTGAACTGCCAGAAGAGCAGTCGCTCCCAGCAAGCTGATGCACAAACCCAAGAGGCTGGAATAGCTTTATCAAAACAGTATCCAGATACCTACAGGAGTCTGACTGCATCTCTGCAGGCTCTGCTGGATACACACCTACAGCTTTAGGTATCCAAGCATTTTGGAAAGTTATTTTCTAAAAAATCGCTATCGAAATTGTTTTTAAGAAGGAAAGAGAAGTGAATCATGCAAAGTCACTGTTTTAGCCTATTGCTCTGACACAAAAGTGTCCTCCCACAGCCCGAACTCAAGAAATGTAGACAAATTTGACAAAGATATAAAAACAAAATCCACAATTACTGATGGAACGCATTAACAGGAAGAATGACACGATAAAGCCATCTCTCCATTAATAACTTGGGAGCATCTTTTCCCAAAGATTCATTCTATTTTGGCATTCTTATTTTTGCAGTAAGCACTTCCCACCAACCAACCCTTCCTCAAGGCAAAGCCGCTTCTCATTACATGCTTGAACAGAAGACTTAGGGGAGGGTTAGTGCAGAAGCCTGAGCACCACAGAAGGATCCCACAATAGATTACTTTGGAGGGTAGCAATTCTCCCTTCCCCACTTATAAGAAAGACAACCTCCATACAATGAAGCTTGTGACACAACCTAGCTATTACGAATCCCTTTTCCAAGCAGGCATCCACACAAAGCAACAGTTCTGTTTACTTTCTGTGTGACACTGTGAATGTTAACTAGCAAATCTGTTTCTCCTTAAAGGACATGCTTAGCTGCTCCGAAGAAATAATGAAAAATAGAAATGAAAAAAACAAACCCAAGCAACCCACACTTGAACAACTCAAGAAGCTCCATGTTCAGGAATCTTGTTCACAATCAAATCACTTCGGAACACGGCAGATGATATTCTTTAAGGGGGTTGGATGGGGGCCCCTGGAGATCATCTAGCCTAACCTCCTGCTAAAAGAAGACCTGTACATTAGGCTGCACAGGAACCTACTCCCTTCAACTCATTGTCCCATTAGCTGAAGACTTTGCAATTAGCACAAAGAACATTTCACCTTGTGTCCTCACTGATACAAAGCTTAACGTTTCATTGTGCCCTATACTAACAACCAAGCTTTCCACACTGCCCCATCCCCAATCCTTCCCACTGTCACGGGGCATGGATCTTACTGTTAGAACTCTTGGCTGTCCTGGCCATTTACTTCTTGGCCAACAGGACTTTACAGAACTACCAACACTAACCTTAAGCACATTTGTGCTCTCAGGGATAATAAGTAACATCTTATGGCAAACGTGATAGAAAGCTAGCCTTCTCACCCATGTAAAAACACTGTTTACAAACTACACAAATGCTGTCCCTCCACAACGCTTCACTTTCTCTCATGAAATCAAACCTGAGCAGCATGGCTGAAACGTCAACCTTCAGCGCGAGCATGAAGGCTTGATAAGAACAGAAGCATCTCAGCCCATTAGCACTCGCTGGTCTCAGATAGACAGGTTGGGGCTGTGACATCATGAAGATGAAAGTGAAAGTTGTTCCCCACGTTTGCTTCAATTTCCTTGCCTCCATTTTGCACATGGATAGCAAATGACAAGAACAGCTGCTCCCGAAATGCCACATTTGAGCTTTTCAGGAACACTGCGGTTGAACGGATGTTCTCCATGGGGCCGGGCTGCACTGCACTCTAACCTGTAATAATAAGCTGATGAAGGCATCCGTAGTGAGAAACAACCCAAGACTTTTCAGAAATCCAGGTTGAAACTCATGCAATCATAGAACCACAGAATGGCCTGGGTTGAAAAGGAACACAGTGCTCATCTGGTTCCAACCCCCTGCTGTGTGCAGGTCGCCAACCAGCAGCCCAGGCTGCCCAGAGCCACATCCAGCCTGGCCTTGAATGCCTGCAGGGATGGGGCATCCACAGCCTCCTTGGGCAACCTGTGCCAGTGCCTCACCACCCTCTGGGTGAAAAAGCTTCCTCCTAACATCCAATCCAAACCTCCCCAGCCTCACTTTAAAACCATTCCCCCTTGTCCTATCACCATCCACCCTCCCAATGGAATATTAAGATCTGGAATGCAAGCAGCCTCCAGAAATGCCTAATACAAAATCCCTAATGGTTTTCCCCCTCCAGAGGACAGCTATCTGTACTATTTCACATGTGCAAACCTACTGCTCTAGAGGAGTTGGAATGAAACTCTTTTTTGCCATCAACAGAAGAGCAATTCCATTCTGATCACAGATTCTCCCGTTACTGTAGAACATCCCCTAGAAACCACACTGACAGCATCATAAAACTGAATTCAACAAAGGAACATAAATGGTGAAAAGGAACTGAGTACTTTATCACAGAATCAGGAAAGCAAAGTTTGAGAGCTGTTTGTAAGCATCTGCAAGTTCACTGTCATGTTTACTGATTTTGTGAACAAATGCAAAATCCTTTGCAGACAATTTTTGACCTAATTCCACCGAATGAGTTTTTGCTTCCCTTGACTGCCCTCAAGTAGGCCTACAGCTCCTATTTCTTTTACAGCAAAGCATCAGGCCTGTCTTACAGGCAAGAAGCTAAAGCATCTTGTTCACGTGAAACTTAGCAAAAAAAACCACTTGTTCTGAGGTATTCAGACTACAAAAACACAGAGTGCTCGTTAGGATGTGCTGCACTTGCAGCAATGAAGATGCAGTACCTGGGATGTTTAAGGAGCACTCACTGCTACTGCTCTTCTCTCATACTTATGCAAGAGGAAGAAGACAGTTTTCATGATCCTCCAGCTACATACCTACTTTCACACACAACCTCATGTTATCAACTACTTAAAGCAACAGGTTTAGGCAATGGATATGAGAAACTATACATCTGAGTGTCTGCCCTTCAGTTAACAGTGAGGGAGCGCGTGTGCACACTAAAAAAATCTTCAAATTTATGTTTTATCATTCCTGGCTGTTTATATTTAACTCAGCATCTGACACTGGATAAATGTTCAGTACTTAATTTAGCGTTCCATTTTAAGTGGTCATGACACAAAAAGAATTAAAGGAATGAACCTGAATTTTGGGAAAAAGTAAGTAAGCAATGGCAAAGAGTACTGACACCAGAATAAAGCTCGGAAAGCAGTAGGAGAGAGTAAACTTGCACAAGTTCACACTGGAAGGGCTTATGAGTTTTGTTTCTTGAATCACCTGCAGTGGCATCAGGCTTTTCTAGCAGTCTGCTTTGGGATAACAGTGCACTGCTCTGCTCTCACTTTCAGCCCACTCACACACCATACCCCAGCAAGGGAAATGGCGATGGGGCTCAGCAAACATTTGAAATACGTGGGTCATCTGAAAGAAGCTAACAGTTCTTATGGTGTGTACCCAAATGACAAGCAAAAGAACAGCACGCACTTCCTCCTCAGTGAGGAATTTTTCTGAGATAAGCTGGCATGCTCTCTTCCCTTGTGATTCACCTTTCAACTGCTCTAAGTGGCCTACCTGTGCACAATAAAACCTCCATGTTGAGAACTGGATGCAGGAGCAGCAGGCCCTTTCAAGACTCCCACTCAAAGGCGAGAATTGAAAACCTGTCCACTTACACAAGCTACTCAGTTAGTCATTTCTCCCTTTGCAAGAGCCCTGGGAATGCCACAAACGAGGCACAGTGGCTGAAGTTTCAATAGAAACAACTCAGCCTGATAATAGATCCCATTGCATCTCCTGTAACACAGTTAGTCTGACTCAGGCCTCCCTTACCTACCTCCTGTTCAAGCCTACACACTGCCTCGCATGACTCCCCAGCCTCTCCAAGCTCCCAGACACGATGCTCCAGGCTCGTCTGCGCCTCTTCCGTTGGGCAGCCTCCATTTTGTGTTCTGCAACTCCTCATACTGGAAGAGAGCTCTAGGAATCCAAGCTGCCTAGCTGGAGTCTCACATGTGGAGTTACGTGCGTTGCAAAACTCTCTTGCTAACTCAGTGGCGGAGATCTGCTTCACTACCTCAGGCCAATGCAGCCCAAATTATTCTGAATTCTGCAGCAAATCAAGAGATTTCAAAGGGAAAAAGTCAGTCCTTTGTCCCACTACAAGTTACTGCTGACTCCACAGGCTTACACCAAAGAGAAATGCTTTTCCAGTCATTCTAATCCATGGGCCAGGTTTAGGAAACATTTTCATCTCATTTTGAGAATCTCTAAAGTGTGAGAATTAAAGCCTGCTTCTAGAAAAGCTCAATGTTAACCAACATTATGGCCAATAACAAAGTCCCCATATCACCCCATATGCCACAGGTTTTTCTTTTTGCCATGAGAAGTTAGGCTACCATCGGCCATGCACAGCTACCCTGCCTTGCATATGATAGGTAAACAAATTTGGAACAGGATTTGCTTGAGCCCCATTATGCCTCAAGAGTTCTCTTAGAAAAAAAGACTATTATTTTACTGACAGCAAGTTGGACAGAAACATCACACAACTCAACCCGAACCTCAATTCAGGGGCAGGAGCAGAACTGAGATCTGATAACTGTTTCTGAACTCCAGCAGCTAGACAACGCATTAGAAATAAAGAACACTGCCCAAAGAAACATCCAAACAGTTTTCAGCTATCTGGCACCAACTCCTGGCACTTTCTGCAGTAGCTGATAAGTTTATATCAAAGGTTCAAAACTCTTATTAATTAGTTCCTCTGGTGGCATGTGACACCTGTCAGGGACTACCAGTGTGCAGCTCTGCTTCCCTCCAAAGAAAACAATTCCGCTCGTGTGTTAATTCTCAGCTTGGTAACTTGTGTTGCTAAAAACATTGCCAAGCAGACTACACAACTGCTAGTTATTGAACTGATTGAGACTTTCTATGATGCAGCATCAGAGAAAGGATAAAAACAAGCCACAAAAAAAAAAAAAGCTGTTCTTTTTTCTGAGCTGTTCTCTTTTTGGAGGCAGATGTTCTGCAACGTCAGTGACACTCTTCAGGTTATTTTCATTTTCCTCTTTGTGATACCTCAAAGAGAGAGGAAAGGGAGCAGTAGCTGCCACCAAGACCAATGCTTGTCTTACACAAAAACAGAGCCAGTCACCCTCTAGAAATACTGAGCCTTTCTGTGTTTGTTACAGCAAAGTGCTGCACACAGTTCAGTTTAAAGACCATTTAACTATCGACTTGCAGCAAACACCCACAGTGCAGACATGATCCAGCCTGGCTAAGCCTGAAGCAAACTATGCACACAAATTCACCCATCACAACTACCTATTCCAACCCTCATCCAGCAGAAGCCTCTGAAAATGACACCCATTCTTGTGAGCTAACCCATCTGGTACCTTAACAGACAAAACCAAAGGATGCCATCTCCAGAAACAACCTCTTTTGCCTTCTATACCTCCTGACCCAAGGAAGATGCCCAAGATGACTAGCCAGAATAATATCTCAAGTGAACATGCTTGAATTTCCCCTATGTACATAAACACAAACTAGAGCCAGATAAACAAGAATACTTGCAGATGTCAGACAGTCACATGTTAATTCAAGGACTTGCTCTGTGAATCTGGGGGAGAATGGCACTTCACCATATGGCAGGAATAGAGAGCTTCAGAAAGCTGGCGATGCTTTAGATATCTGGTGACCTGGATGCACCACAAGGACTATCACAGTTGCCTAGAAACATCCCTTGCTCATAAATTCCATGTGTTAACTCCAAGCTTCTAGAGAAGTATATTCTCCAACTACTAAGAAAATCCATCACGGTCTTGCAACAGAATTTTGTGGCATTTAGGACTGCAAACGACCTCAGCCATTGGGTTGTGCCTTCAGCCACCACAGGAGGTGACAGCCCACAGCTGCTTCCAGAACAGTTTAGGATTTCTGTGCTCTACTACTGTTACTGGAAGGCATTCACAGAATCCTGATGGCTAGGAGCATTTTTTTTTCCTAGTTTCTAGATCAAAAACTTATTCTTGATCAGTTTACTTAGAATTGCATGCAGATATTTCTTTGATTGCAAACAAGAAGGAAAAATAGTCTTTAAAGCTGCTGTTCCATGAAAGATGCTAACTAGCACGTCAGTTTTATGCAGGCTCAAAACATACCCTGTACTTTCCAACATTAAAGAAATGTAACTGAGCACACTGAGCAGCACAACAAGGCAATGGAAGGCAGGAAGCTCAGAGCTGCAACTGCCTGCTGCATTTACCCAATAGGAGAGCATCTAAGAGGACATTTCTTCCTTTTATGCAATAAACAGCAACAGAATACCTCTATCCCAGGAGGATGCGCCAGTCCCAGTCCCACTAGATGGCACTAATTTACTCTAGGCAGCTTTCCTTCAACATTTAATTGGAGAGGGCTACAAATCTCAGTTGAATCACACAAATTGTATCACAGCTTTCCCAACACATTCCCTTGAAGACAGTGACCTACCAATGCCAGTGCGGAGCATGACGGACGGAGACTTGGGGGGGTAGGGAGGGAATTTGAAGCACCAACCTGGGAGGGAATGTAGTATCTGAGATTAATATTGCAACCAAGACTTGCTGCAACATAGTAGAGTCATGCTAATTCATATCAACGGTTGGCTGATCTATTGCAAATTAGCAAGTACATCAATATATATTGTGTAATGCACTTTAACAGTTTACTGACCAACACGAGGTAACACTGCACAGTAACAGGGCAAAACACCCAGCAAAGAGCTTTGCTTAAAGCGTGCTCTCCAAGAAATGAGGACTTATCACTCAGATTTGTTTTAGTAACAGAATGACTTGTTAATATTCACCTGAACAAAGTAAGGGTGCACACTGTTTCCAGACTAGACACACAGAAAATAATTTAGCCTTGCTTTCCTATATCCTTTAAAGGTTATTCCTTTAAAAGGAGCAGTTCCTAACGTTTTTCAAGAGCACTGAGTATGTTGGCACTCTTTTAAACAAAGGCAGTCTCTGTGATTTTAAGTCTTAAGAAAGTTGTTTGACTTTATTTATACTCTACCTACACTGGGAGGAAGAAGCAAGAACAGATGAGAAAGTACATTAAAAGTTGTAACGTTGTATAAAACATCTTTCAAGATCATAACTACATTACAGAGCATAAACTTGTAAAAGCCCTGAGATCAGAAGTCTTAAGAGTGGGAAAAAGATCAAAAAAGCCCACATTCCTACTTCAGTAACTGAAAGTTTCTCGTTAATGACTTCAGTGTTAATCACCCTCACTACACTGCTTCAAAACTGGATCTTTTACTTCTTCATGCTCTCTTCCAAGACTTAACCTTGTCTGAGTTCTGGCTGAAGTACATAAAGAAAAAGTATGCACTCAAACTAAACCAATTTAAAGCTCTGATTTACTATCAGTTTTTTCTAATGCAGATCTACAAAGTTTCTTTCCAAAACAATGCTAAGAAGCTTCCATAAGTTCCACTGCAAAGATGCTGTTTTACCTTCCACCTTTCCGTCGTTCAAAACTCAGCACCTTCATGAAAAATAAACTCCTTATCACTGACCTAGTTTAAAATGAGTTCTGCCACCATTTCATTGCTCAGAGAGGAAATCAATTTAGCACTACCAACAACATCTGGAGAGCTAATAACTTAATGCTAGCACGTCCAGCAGCCACACAATGTTGTTGTTAGGTGTCTCACCTAAGAAAACCAGCTACTGGGTAGTTCTGAAGTTGTACGTGAGGACAAAGATGGGATTTACCAGCAGGCTGTGGATCACTGATAGGGGAAAGTTTACCTTCAAGTACTTTTGGGTGTGTTTCATGCAACCAAGAAAGTAGGCAATTTCAACACGTTGTACCCAGAAAGAACTGCGTGTACAAATTCCTGAAAATATTCAGCCTGGTTACATGTTGTATTAAACACAATCAACTTGAAACTGTATCTAACAAGGGGCCAAATCCAATTCCCAAATGCATACTTGGAGAAAGGAAGAGACAGGTAAGATTCCCAAAGACAAAGCCGTCCTTTTTTAGTGGAGTGCAAGCTGCCTTAAGATGGAGCAACTCCTGAGAACTCCTTTGGAACCCCAAATCTTCCGTATAACACTGCATCTGCTCATAGAGATCCCATTTTCATTCCTCTTCAACATACTTCAGACAAATCAGCAGTCAAAACAGAGCTATGGATACAAACGCATCCTGCTAGCAAAGCAAAATTAGCAAGGGGGGGAGGAAGAAAAGAAAGCATTGCAGGGTGTCATGCCTTTCACTGAAGGTATCTGTACTCACCTTAGCAACACCAACTCCAGTAAACCTGGCCTCCAGTAGTTCCTGCCTTCGTGGGTCCAGGCTATGCAATTCTTCCATCATTTCTGCTGCTGTGGGAGAATAACGTTCAGATTATGCAATGCAAGGAAAGGAGAGATTTAAGATCCCGTGCCACTGACAAGACTCAAAAGTGCCTGTTTTCATAACCACGTAGAGAGCATTTTCTTGCAAGAGAAATACGAGATTGCCATGCAATAACAGCATGATTTTGTCACCATATCACTGTACGTAAACCACAACCCTGATGGAGAGGTTCATCTTCTCTCTGTAGCACCAGCCATTTCAAGATCTCTTAATCCAAGAAACCAATTATGTCACATTCTCCCACTGGATGCTTTATTAAAAGGAAAACACAGGACCAGAGGGTTATGACTAAAGGCTTCACAGCTTCCCATCCATCCTGCACGACTGGGAGAAAAAAGCAAAGATCCTCATCCCAGAATTTATTTTTGGCCAACCCCTAAAACAGGTCTCCCAAAACTCCAGATTTCACTGACAACAGCTCTGCTTCTTCCAAGCACGGAAAGGGATTGTCAGAGGAAAATGATGCATGTTTACATCTCTCTGTTACGAAGTACTGGATACCCCCAGCTGCATCTCTACACTGGATGTACCCGGGGTACCTCTCAGCAATCTGATGCCATGGATGCCATCACTTGAGAGGTTCAGAAACAACCGACCAAACAAGCATGGCTGTGTGAAGAATCATAAAACGTAAAATGCAGATACTGAACTACGAAAAAAAGAAAAAAAAAAAAAAAAAAAAAAAAGGGACAAATTTCAATTTTCATTTTGACTGCGAATCGCATCTTCCCAAATGCACCAATCCAGTCCATCATTTCCAGAAATGTCTGTTCCAGTTTCATTTCCCAGACGAAGGTAAGGGAAAAAAAAAAAAGGGACAGAAGATAAAGATTTGCTGTATAAAGAAGCGCATGTGAGGAGGAAAGTTCCTGAAGGGCAGCAAGTGCCCTCTAGATCAGGCAGCATACAGTTGTTCCTTTTATTAACTGTCCATTTTGTCCCTGCTGTTTCCTCCAAATGCTGCAGCTCTAAGTTACAGAAGGCTGAGTGAATCAATCATTCACAAGCGCTCTCCCCAACCGGCAACGAGCCTCAACAACCAAATGCAGTCACCACAGAACCCCATTTCTACTATTTGCTCCAACAAAGCTATCAGCCTAGTTTTCAAAACAGGAAATCTGTGCAGTGAGGAAAATGACAGGCGAGCCCTAAAGGTGTTCAAGAGCTCTGCTCTCCTTTATGGGGATGGAACAGCGGGGATGCCGGGCTGGGGAAGGGGCAGCCCAGCTGGGAAGGGGTCGCACCAAACCGCCCCCAGCCCTGAGCCCCTCTGCCCGCAGGGGTCTGGGGAAAGCCCTCCTCCATCCACCCACCCATCCATCCATCCCTGGTGGCAGCGGATGGCATCCCCTCCCTGCCCTCCTCCCGACGGCTCTTAGGGGCGACGCGCGGCCCCTCTCTCCAAACACGGGCACGCGTTGTTCGAGCAGCCTGCCCAGCCGCTGCACCGCCTCGGCCTGCCTCCTCCCGTCACCGCCTCGCTGCCAGGCCGGAGATCTAAAGGCCGTGCCCACCTCTTCACCTCCTCACCGCGCTCCCCCAGGGCCGTCCCCGTTCTTACCCTTCCCCCCCCCACCCCCCTTCCCCATATACACCCCAACACCCCACCGGGGCCTCGCGTCGATCCGAACACCCGCGGCCCAGGCCTCGCTCCGCCGCCTCGGGGCACGCACAGGCCGCGGCCCTTCCGCCTGACCCCGGCCCGGCCCCGCCGCGGCCAGCAGCGGCCAGCGCTCCGCCGCCACCCCGCCCTCCCTCCCCCCGGTGGTCGCCGTCCGCCGCCCCCTCCGCCCCCACGGCCCACGGAAGGTGGGGGATCCCCACCGCCCCCCCTCTCTTCTTCCTCCTCCTCCTCCCTCCTCCTCCTCCTCCTTCCCCAGGCTTCTCTCACCTGGCGCTGCTGCTCGTGCCGCCGCCCCGCCGCTCCTCTCCCCTCCCGCCCGGGCCCGGCGCTCCCCGGGCACCGCTCGGATCCCGCCGCCGGGGGCAGGAGGAGGAGGAGGAGGAGGAGGAGGAAGAGGGAGGGAGGGAACCTGCTGCTGCGGCGGCGGCAGAGGCACGGGCGGGAGGGGGAGGCCAGGGGCGGCTCCGCGGCCTCTCGTGAGCCGCCGCTGCGGGTGCCCGGGGGAGAAGGGCGGAGGGGAAGGGAACGGCGGCGGAACGGGGCGGGGGGGGGGGGGGGGTGGAAGGCGGGGGCGAACCTCGGTTCGGGTGGCGGAGCGGGGACGGAGCTAGGCCGCGGATCCCCGGCCTCGCGTAGAAGCCTCGGCCGAGCGCGGCGCGCGAAAGCCGGCAGAGGTGGCGAGGCCTCGCGGCAGGACAAAGGCCCGAGGGAGGGCTCGGCGGGTGCGGCGCCCGGGCAGGTGGCGGGGGGGTTCGGTGGGGGGGGGGGG